CGGACCTTTACGCGTTGGTGATGGCGAATATCGCAGACGATTTAACGATGAGCTGTATGAGCTTTACAACGATATAGACATAGTGCAGCGAATTAAAATTCAGCGGCTCCGCTGGTTTGGCCATGTCGTTCGAATGGACAGAAACGCTCTTGCTCTGAAAATATTCAACGCGGTCCGCGATGCTGGTAACAGAGGGAGAGGAAGGCCTCCTCTACGTTGGAAAGACCAGGTGGAGAAGGACTTGGCTTCACTTGGCATTTCCAATTGGCGTCAGTTGGCACAGAAGAGAAATGACTGGCGTGCTGTTTTGCACTCGGCCAAAATCGCGTAGGCGGTTACAGCGCCAATAAAGAAGAAGAAGAAGTGCCGCACAGTCCTCGGTGCGCTTTGACCTTTTAACGCTATCGGCGCATCATTTTCAGGCACCCTTACGCGACACAGTCCATTTAGTAACCATTACCCATATTAAGAGGATTGAAACAACGATGAAATTGTCATTTTTACCATCAGAACTAAAAGGTGGTGTAATTTCAATTACTATTGACCTAAAAAAAAAACCAAAAAGGCAAGCTAAATAAAACCGATTAAGAATCTGCCGTCAGCATATGAAAAAGTAGTAAGCTAAGCAGTATTAGGTAGTATTATATTATTTGTTTCTCTTAAATGTTGAGCATGCTGGAGTGACAGTCCTTGGCCAGATATGAATCTGGCTCGATCCGGTTATTCAAAAAGTCCATAAAGAACTCCCAGCATTAATAATAATAATAATAGATTGGCGCTTACACATATGTTAGTGTTTGACCGAGCTTCTCCCCCGACTTGTGGCGTGCGCCTTGATGTTGTCACACAAAGAGGAGGGACCTACAGTTTTACGCCGACTCCGAACGGCGATTGTATTTTTATGAGCTGTTTTTCATGGCAGAAATACAGTCGGAGGTTTGCCATTGCCTGCCGAGGGACAACCGCTGTTAAGAAAAAACCTTTTTCTATATTTTTTGGGATATTGCTTTGACCAGGGCTTGAACCCAGGTGCTGATGTGTGAAAGCGCGCACTGCTTACCACTACACCGCAGCGGCCGACAGCATTACATTCCACGAATTTGTTCTGCGAGATTCAATTTGATAAACATAAATATATTTGAGCCACATTTTTTTTACCTAGCTGTACGCGTTGAGGCGAAATGTACATTGCATGTATGTAGATACACATATTAAAGTATTTTTAATACTTTGTATCGCACAGGGAAGTGTTGAATGAAAGTACATCAGATGGAGATAGCCCTATGAAACGAATGACACGTCTGCGTGCTCGAGGAGGAGTGCGTGACAAGCCGCCAATTATTGATGATGATGAAGACGACTTTTTTATACCCGTGGCACGTAAACGCAAACCGCCGGGAACACGGAAACCGCCTGGGGAACGCCGGGAGCGTGTGGAGAGACCTCGAAAGGAGCACATTGAAAAGGAACAGGAGCGTATTGATATGGAAAGAGATGTTACCACGGATGAAAACAGTCTATATTTCATTGTGCGGCATTCCAAATCGGCAATAGCGGTAAGTAAATATTGTAAACGTTTGGATTTGTTATAAACGTGAGTTTGATAAAACTGCTGTTTCAGAGTATTGTTGATGATTGGATTGAAAAATACAAACAAAATCGTGATTCTGCCTTAATTGCACTAATGCAATTTTTTATAAATGCAAGTGGTTGTAAAGGCAAAATATCTGAAGATATGCCACATCCAATGGAACACACTGCTGTGATACGCAAAATGACTGAGGAATTTGATGAGGTTACGATTTAACAAATTCAGTTGTAATTTTATTTATGGTTTATTTTGTGTCGAAACAGGAAAGCGGCGAATATCCATTGATAATGCCTGGGCAGCAATGGAAAAAATTCAAAATGAATTTTTGCGACTTTGTGCAAACTTTGGTAAAGCAGTGTCAATATTCTATCATTTACGATCAGTTCCTTATGGACAATGTGATCTCACTTTTGACGGGTCTCTCTGATTCGCAAGTGCGTGCATTCCGTCATACGGCTACTTTGGCGGCAATGAAGTTAATGACAGCGCTGGTGGATGTAGCGTTGCTTGTCTCAAATAACTTCGAAAATGCTGCAAAACAATACGAAGCTGAGCGCGTCAAGGTAAATTGATTTTTTTTTTACCAAGTATTTCACATGTCCATACTTTTTCCTCTATTTAGTCGCGAGATCGGCGTGCATCGGATCGGTTGGAGTCATTAATGACGAAACGTGCCGAGCTTGAAGAGAATATGGACGAAATTAAAAATATGTTAACATATATGTTTAAATCCGTATTTGTGCATCGATATAGGTAATTTACAAACATGCTTTCGAAGTTTTAAATTAATTGGGTCGATTATGTATAGCAACGCATCTTCCAGTTGGGTTGCCGAAGTGCAACTCCACTGCACTAAAAATTAATATTATGCTTAGCAACTAAGTTAATACTTGCTTTTATACTGAAGATAAGAGAATTTTGAGGTACCAGCAATCAAGGCTTGAGTGCAAATAAGCTGCAGAAACAGTTAAATAGAATTATACATTTTCTCAATCAAAATTTCACCGGCAGGCACACAAAATGCAGTTGCCAGCTTCCAGTTGCTAGTTGCTGAGTGTAATACCATTTCAGGCAATGGCAACGCTACTGAAGTTTGCTGGCAATCCGTAATCGGCCCATAAGATTTGATGTAAATAAAATATTTTTTCAGGGACACCCTGCCGGATATACGTGCAATTTGCATGGCGGAAATCGGCGTCTGGATGGAAAATTATCCACAAAATTTCCTCGACGACTCATATCTAAAATACATCGGATGGACATTACATGACAAGGTCGGTGAAGTCCGCCTTCGGTGCCTGCAAGCGCTACTACCGTTATATGACAAAGAAGAACTGAAGGGAAAATTAGAGTTGTTTACTTCGAAATTCAAAGATCGTATTGTTGCCATGACCCTGGATAAAGAATTTGAGGTGGCAGTACATGCGGTTAAATTGGTGATCAGTATTTTAAAGTAAAAAAAAATAAAAAATAAATACAAATTTGTGTTATATTTATGTGTATTTGATACTTTTTTCTTGCTCATAGAATCCACCCTGACATTTTGGCCGACAAAGATTGTGAAATAGTGTACGAGCTTGTCTATTCATCGCATCGCGGAGTAGCCCAGGCTGCGGCCGAGTTTTTGAATGTACGACTTTTTCACTTAACTGCCGATATGGAAGAGACAAAAACGAGACGTGGTAAAATACGGCTACCAAATACACCCCTAATACGAGATTTAGTACAGTTCTTTATTGAATCTGAACTGCACGAACATGGTGCCTACCTGGTGGACTCCTTCATAGACAATAATGCCATGGTCAAAGATTGGGCTTGTATGACCGATCTACTTCTCGAAGAGCCTGGCATAAACGAAGAGGTGCTAGACAACAAGCAGGAGTCAACACTTATCGAAATAATGGTTAGCAGCGTGAAGCAGTCAGCGACAGGTGAAGCGCCCGTTGGACGCGCGAGTAATCGTAAAATTACATTAAGTTCAAAGGAACTTAAGGCAATACAAGATGAAAAAATTCGACTGACTGAACATTTTATTATAACACTGCCGCCTTTATTGGAGAAATACCAGGCGGACAGTGAAAAATTGGCAAATCTGCTGGCAGTGCCACAATATTTTGAATTAGACATATATACCACAAATCGACAAGAATCTAACTTGCAGGCTTTGTTGGATAAAATGAGTTACATAATGTCTGTACATACGGACCGAGAAGTACTCGAGACCTGCGCTAAAACACTGGAGTACTTATGCAGTGAGGGTAGTGCGACATACACTCGCTGTGATGTAGCACGGTCGAATATTATTGACAATGCGGTTAACAAATATAAAGATGCCATTGATGACTGGCGAAATTTGATTGCTGGTGAGTGAATGAATAAACAAGGTCAAAATTAAAATATTTAAAAAACATTTGTGTGATAAAAATCGCATAAATACCGTCGCATTTATTTCAGGTGAAGAACTACCCAATGAAGATGAAATCTACAATGTTACAATATCACTCAAAGTTATTTCCATCTTGTACGCTTCTCATAATCTCAATATTTGGAGTTTATTTGATTCAATATTCCAAGACGTGGAAGAATGCCAGTCGAAAGAGAATCCGGGGCGCACTTTACCCAACGAAGCGTTAGTCTATTGCATCGAGGCGTGCTACTTTTCGATAAGTTGGGGCTTATACTTTGTAGAAAATCAATGTGAAAGCAGTAATATACCTGTTGTATGCGCTGAATTGCGTGATAATATGGTTAAATACATGGCAGCATGTATCGAACTAACACGTAATGG